ACTCAGAAAAAGTTGTTTTCAAATTGTGATGTGTGCAAAAGCATCAAATCATTTTAAAGCCACCAGTTGCTTCTCTTTTTCTCTTTTTAGGTGTTATTCTACACAGACCTTTGAAGTCTCTGCATTACCGATTCACACCCAGGAAGCCACTTGGATTAAATCACTGATCACTCCTTTCCCACCATCCCTTGGCTGTCTGAAACACAGACTCTCTTTCTAGCACTTAATCATGGCTTTGCAGAGAGTGGGGAGGAGTAGAAAGGCAAGAGCTTAGTGTGAGTCAGAGCAAATACAGAGTTACTGGCTCCAGTACTGGTAGCTCTGCAAGAGGATCTGACAGTATTTCCCATTTTTCTTTCAGAGCAATTTGGCTCTGTTTACTTCATAAAAGGTGATCTAAGTGTACTGGGTGATGGAGCTTATGTTCTTTGTTTATGGGCTCAGAACTGAAGGGGATGTTTCTTCAGTATTACAATAAGCAGAGCACTTCCCAAAGAAAGCGTTTTTATCTTAAATCGCATTAGGTCTCCTAAGCTAGAAAGTGCCTTGATGGCTAATGATGCTACTTTGCACTTCCCTCTCTTTTAACTGCTAACAATAATGTAATAGCAGCTCCAATCTTTTATTCTACTAGGTCACTTAAAATTGTCTACACACAGCAGCAGCACAAAACAGAATAAACTAGCAAACCCAAATCCAGCCACAGAAGAAGTAATTTTACCACTTTTCTCCAAAAGACTTCATAGGTCCCAGATCAAGTTATGTGAAATACAGCATTAGACTCTGTGAGGAGAGTGGGGTGACAGCAACCAGAGCTCTGTGAGGAACGTGCAGAATGTTTTTTGCCATCCTTTCTCAGGCAAATAGATTCAGATGCAATGAAAACCCTGCTTCCTCTACTGTCATTTAACATCCACAAGGAAATCCAGTTGCACTTCAAATGTTCTCTACTGCCTTCTTTTCTTTAGGTTTTTATTTTGTTGGGGTTTTTTTTGCCAGACTCATTCCCATATAAATTTAATTGTCAGTCACTTTTGCTGGAGAACTCAAGGTATACTTACCACAAGGGGAACCTTCATCCCTCAATACCAGTAATGAAAGTACCTTAGGTTCTGCCAAAATATTCAGTCTGCCCTTTCTTCTCAGGGAATCATTTTAATTATTTTCTTCCTGTCACGGACCCAAACTTCTGAACAAAGTCTGATTTGTAGCTCAGATGTTTATAGGGCTACATAATTTTACTGAACTTTCAAGAAAGAATTTATAGGCTCTGTGGAAACTAAACCATTTCAAATAAGACAGGCCAATGACTAAAGCAGTGTAACAAATTTCTTGGTCTTCTTTCAGAAAGTTTTGTTACTCTTCTGATATCCTCCCCAGACTGTGGGCATACCTCATCTAAAAGTAAAAGGTTTCTCTTTATAAATGTCTAGCAAATGGAATTTTGCCAGGCCTGCATTGGCTTCTTTGCATCTTATATAGACTGTAGATGGCCCACAAGAAAATGAATGCTTATATGATTTTTCTATCGGTTTTGCTTATGTCTATCTTTTAAAATTGTACATGACAAATAGTTTTCATTATGTTCCTTTAATCCAAAGTTATGTCAAGGCTTTTCTACCATATTAAATCTTCTGATAAATTTTATGGCAACTGCAATCATGTTTGTTGATTGGTTTGCAATCACAAAATTCAAAGTCACTTACCTTTAAAGAGCCCTGCCTGAAAACTATGTCCATTTGCAAGTGATTTGCAAGATTTTTGACAACACAGATTCAAAGCTGACAAACAGAATAACAGGGCTGTCAAAAGCCTTACTGGCCAAGATACTTGAGCTTCTCTGAATATTCAGCTGAACGCTATTATTTTGCCTCACAGTCAGTCGGTTCTTCTACCCTGTTTCCCTCTGCATTTTGATCAAAATCTAGAGACCTCTTACATCACCTCCAGGGACAACAGGAATTTTTCTTGCTCTTGGAGTGGGCTAGCAGTCAATCTGTTTGGAAGTCTAACCTCGTTCTAAAAATTAAAATTTGAAAGCCTGCAACATTAAACCTTCTCTCAATTCTGCACAGAAATTATTAGGATGCAGATCAATGAAGCCTCTACTCAGACATGTTTAACTTTTTCTCATTTTTTTCCTAATTGATTAGGCTATGAAACTCCTAATAAAACAGAGGCTACAATGCCCATGACATTTTGACCAGTTAAAATAAGTTCAGTTTGAAAGACCTCTGCATTATTTTGATGGCAATCTCAGTTATCACTGCCATAATAACCAGTAATTCCGAAATGAAGTGATCCAGTTCTTCAAACTCCGCTCTCTCTCTGCTCATGTTAATTGCCATAACTGCTTTTTTAAGGCATGAGCCGAGACACAGTTCCACTTGCAATCACCAAAGTTGTGATTGCCATGTTCAGCATTACACAGAAGTGTTTTATAATGCAGTGATCCAAGAGTTAATATTATTTCTGTGTCTTGATTTGACAGCTCTGGAATTTAGTTTTCGTGATGTTCCATTTTCACTCACTGAGCCTGCTGAAGTTCACGATGTCCAATGTCAAAATAGAACAAAGGGAAAATTATTGCAAAGTTCAATTTATAAGAACATCTACCACTGTTGTGACAGTTCCAATTCATGCTGTTGAAATTCCTTTAGAAGCTTGAAAAGAAAATGTGTGACTGGTTGGTCCTTACATGCTGCTGCAATTATTTAAACAGCATGACAATTCTTAAGACTGTTCCATACCAAAGCCTAATCATGCAGCATCTGACCAAAAATTGCCATTTCAGAAAGTTCTTAGAAGTTTCTGAATAAGCCCCATGGTGCACTTGTATTTTGGGTGCTACTTCTGCCACTTATCAGAAGGACCAAAGAAAGTACCACCAACCCTTGACAAAGTGGTAAAATTCATTATGAAATGTACATATTCTTGTGTGGAGATATAGATATGCAGATATACACACACAACTATACTTCTCTAGAAGTTTTGCATACTTTAACAAGACAAAGAAAATCAAAATAATTTACTGCTTTCCATTTCTTCTGTCTGTTGTGAGGCTACTTTCTCATTAATTTTTTTTTTTTAATTCTCTAAATTAAAACAACTCAAAGCAGCCTTGGTGAGCTATTTCAAGTATAATGTGCTTCCCCCATTGCTATAAAAAGCACAGTAATTAAGTCCAACATGATCTCGAAACATATTCCCTACTGTCCAAAACTTCATTATTGTTCTTCACAACCAGATATTGATTTTTTCCTTCTGTAAACTTAAGCAACAACCCTAATTGCTATTTAATGTCTCATAAAGTGATAACAAATCCCAATTGTCCAGTCTTTTAACATGTGCCCACATCAAGTAGTCAGGCAGTCTAGAGTAAAACAAACAAACAACTGAAACAAGCAGGCACCGAAAGCAAAAACCACCAAAACATGGGGAATTTCACTCACAAATGATACAGCATCTCCAAGAACAGTGTATACTCACCACAGAAACCTCAGATAACTTTACAAAACCAAAAATCACCAAATCATGAAGGATGCCTGAAACTACTTCCAAATGCCACCCCAAATTCTTGGGCTACAATATGCTCTCCCCTCAGCCAGCATTAATAACTGGGGCCTCACTCTTTTTAGTGAGCAGTCTGAAGCCACATCACCTCAACACGGAAAATAAGTGAAATAAACACGTCTGGGCTCAACTGAATGAAAACAGACTGAGAGAGCTCCCTGGAAGAGAACCAAAAAGCAGCTTTGGAAAAAAAAAAATTACATTGTAGAGGGAATTTGTAGCAGGTGCCTTCACTTACCAGCTACTCAGATCCTGCCAGGTCACCATGGCGCACAGAAACAAAGAAGCTACAAGACACCATTCCCAGCACTTTTTAACTTTGCATTACTTCCCATGAATATGAGAATTCCATTTTTAATGCCTCTTAAAAGACATAAAAGAAAATTTATTTACATCAGAAGGCTCAAGAAAACTGTGATTATGTCTTGAGGGGAAGTGTTGCAGTGGTTTTGGCTAGATGTACCAAGCGAGAAGTTATATGTTTTATAGATTAAAAAAAGTCTAATCTAATGAGCAAACTACTTGCTGATTTCAGAGGCCCATGAATTAGGAGGGGTATTTTTCATCTCTGGTTTTTAATATTGGTAAGGATTTATTTAAAGGCTTACCAAGAAGCAAAATTCCCAAAGAAGCATAATTTACCCTTGAGAAGAGAGGAGAAGGAGAGTAAAATAATAATGGTTTTCTACTGTAGAGTTCTCAGTATTAACAGACTTTCTTTAGCTGCAACTTTACCTACTGCTTCATCCTTTCTAAATTAGATCCCCCAAGTGAAAATAAAAAAAAAAATTAAAAAAAAAAGTGGTGTAATACTCTTCTAAGATCACATATACAGTTCCATTAGTGAATGAAAGTTCAATATTCAATAAAGCAAAGGAGATCAATATTTATACCATGCAAAATTATTTGTCTCTGGAACAAACAAGACAAGAGCTTCACTAATTATATAATTACAGCACACATATTACTAAGCAGTGACATAACTTATACAGCAACAAAGAAATGGTTCTGTGCTAAAACCAGCAGTACCTAGTATGGGGATAGCCCTTCACAATTTGCATCCTTTATTATTATTATTCCTAAATTATGTTGAATGAAAGCAGTATTTGGACCAGATCAACTCCATATATGAAAGTTTTCCAAGCCAGAAGATACACACAAAAGCCAGGATTCCTCTCTCCCAGACAATTCTGCATTCCAGCACTTTACAGTATTGCCAACACATGAGCACTACACACACCAAAAAGAAAGTCACCCTCCTCCAGAACATACCTGCTGATCATAACCTAGATCCACCTTTCTTCTTGCCTATGGAATGTTTGCTATGAGTCTCAGGATGTCTCTCCAGCACTGACTTTCTTTTTACCATTGCTTACTAGGAATAACAAGCTACCACCACCAAATACAAGTACATAAATCAAACTTACGACTTTCCAATGGCAAATGTTTTGATAGTGCAAGTCTTCGCTCCTGCTAATCCAAAAAACAACATAGAAGAGGAGACTGAGAAGAAAAGCCTTTCCCATATCTAGGCTGGAAAAAAACTATCCCAGCCTGTAGCTTTCATTAGCAGTAATCACCATTAACTTCTGGCACCCGAGCTTAGACTGAGAATGAGAAATGAAAAATATTGCAACCCTTCACATCTTTTTAAACTGTGGTAGTTTTTCTACACCTAGAAAATTTCTGGTTCCTAACCATTGCTAAAAATGAAGTTAAGCAGCTTCAGGGAGATAAAAACAATCCTCACATACCCACTGACACTTAACACAAAAAAATATTTCAGTTTTACTTTCTTGAGGAATATGGTTCATAAAAAAATGAGGCATTGTAGTGAGTGTTTTGTTTGTTTAAAAATAAACATGGAATAGAAAACAGCAGATGTTTGGGCAAAGGAAACAGCAAAGGTAATGCAACAGCTTTAAGTAAGGCTGAGGCTATGGTTAGGCCGTGGTGATTACCAAATTATCCTAAAAACATATCACTAACATTGAGGATTTCTCTTTTACATCAATTCAGTATCATATATTCTAAGAGAAAATTTGATCCACTATTGCTTACTTAGGAGTAAATTACATTACTAATATTTTATCAATACACTGCCCTGCACTATAATCATATATACATTTTTCTCTTTATTTTAGCACACATCAAAAAATCCAAGATAATAGCCGTATTTACCAAAAGCGAAAAGGAAACAAGATTGCAATTAAAAGCAACTGCAATAAGAGAAGGAACACACAGCAGAAATTTAATCATGATATTTAGAGAAAAAAACTATTCACTGCAAATCTTTACTACTATGGATTATCAAGGAATAAATAAAGGCAGATGACAGAAGTGATTACAACATACTCCCTTCAACAGAAAAATTACTTTCCAGAGAGCCAAGTTAGAATATTCATTATTTGTAAATCTCAGAACAAGGCACAAGCAGCATGACTTCCTAGAAGAGTTTTAAGAAAGAGTTTAATCTGGTAAACTAATCATAGTTTTCAAGTTGTCATCTGCATAGGCATGCAAAGGAGGGTCAGCATGCAAGCGAGAAACCTTCCTTTCTTTCTGCCTCTCAGGGAGAGAAATTGGTGGAGCTGAGCTCCTTCAGCTGCTATGGATACAAGTAAAATAACCCCTGCACATCTTGTCCTAGAGAGTTCAACTCAGCATCTTGAGAATATGCAAGATTCACTTACAGCAAAGAATAACTGCATTATCTGCTAAATGTTAAGAAAATATTATTTCCTATGATAATTTATGAACACTGTTACTCCTCACTATTAAAACCAACGTACTATCACCTCCTTTACTTGGTTTCTGATTGTGGAGACATTTGTGTACCCAGGGACTTTTGCAAGCACCAGCTTGAACAGCGCCTGGGATACCTGATGAGATACCAACAAAGACCATAATTTATTGATTCAACTCATTTTTATCAACCCTGAGCTCCTGCTTGCATGCTATTAATGAGTATTAGAAGCTCTGCAGCCCACACTACCTGATTATGACACACTTCTTCTGTAATCTGTTCCCTAAGCAAGGTCTCTCCTGATCTCATCAATAGATGTAAGATTCTATAGAGGGTGTCTACATTGTGCCTGTGGAGCTGAGCTTTCCAAAGCCTCCATTGCAGCTTTGCCTCAGAATGGCCTGTAAGGTGCAGGAGTGCTGCTGAGCCAAGCCAGAGTGCAACAGAAACCAAGCAATGTATTCAGGGACATCTTGGAATGATATTTGGCAGCACGGCAAATCTAGTTTGTGTCTTGAATTCTAGATGTAGTCCTACCCATGGAATTTGCATTTTTTTCTCTGATTTTTCTGACTGATGAAATGCTGGGTAATCTTTTTAATTCTCTCTTTAGCAAAAGGAAAAAAAAAAACCAAAAACCAACCCCCCCTCCCCCCCCAAAAAAACCCCAAACAAACATAAACAAACAAAAAACCAATATCATACTACCTCCATGCTTGAAACATGTGTAGAATGCAATAAAGACTAAATTTTAATTAATTTCTAAAATAATAGTGATTTACACTATTTTAGGAAACATACAAAATTAGGGACAGAAACAAAGTATTTTTTGACAAAAATACTTCTCCCAGTTTTCACAGCTTTTCAATGTCTTATAAATTTGGCTCCTAGTACTGTTTAAAGCCTGCTGTGTGATACGCTGGCTCTGTTCTGTTAAGAAAATTACTGAATTTCACACCTTATACGCGATCATATCACAGTGAACCAAACTAGAATTAAAAATATAATATGGAATTACTGCCCTATGAAGCGTTTAGGAGTCTCTGTCTTTCCAATTTTCTTTAATGAAGTGGCATGGATCAGATCAGACATAAACCCATTATTTGTTTTAAGTCACAGAACAAAAACCTACCATCAACCTTCCATCAGAGTCTCAGCAGTGTCCCTGTGGTATGGTAAATATACTTGAAACATGAAAGCTGAAATGTGATTGTGTCATGTAAAGAGTGAACATGAAGAGGAATGTAGATCTCTTCAATAGAACTATTCAAGGAGGGAAAATGATTTTTGTCTTTCCCGTAGGACTCCTTTGTTTTATCCAGCCTGTGAGTGGCTCTGCTGAGGGAAGTCTCATCTTCGGGCCACTGCTGATGGCTCCTATTCAGTGATCACAGTACTGGGAGAGAGCACCTCAGCAGGCCTGATGGGAGGAATTAACATTAATGCATTTTTATTCAGTTGGGAAGGTCAGAATTAGAAAAACAGGCTCACAACCATAAAAATGTCACTCCTGTTGCTGCTTGGCAGCTGCACTCTTTTACTTGATCTCATTGCTTTTTGGCAATAGACTTCTTATGCTACAGCTTTTCTTTTTCCTTTTGGGACTTTCATGGCAGCCCAGTATTTTCCCCTGGCATCAACATCTTACTACCAATCCATTATCCATTACCTCCCTGGCACGTGCAGAATTCAGAAAAACCTTGTCTGGGATCTGGCGCTCTACCCAGAGTCTGATAAATGCTATAAACTTTATTTCTTCTCTTGTGGTGCAAATTGGAAAAATATGGCATGCAGTTACGCAAGCATGACACTGTCCTCAGCAAAGGCTGCTTTTCAACACAAAATCCTCCAGAAAGAACTGAAATAATTTAGTGTCTCTAAAAGCACCACTAAAAGAAAAGAGATAAAAGAAAAAGTGGCAGTTTCCCTGGAGATGTTTGATTCTCTGAAGACACCAAAAGAGCTTATATTTTGAAAAAAAAAAAATTCTCATTATAAAAAGTTTGAAACTCTGCCTTTAAATCAGTAATGCGTCATCCATTTCTAAGTGGACTGAACTTCAAAACCAAAGAGGTTCCTTTGAAGACACAAACCTCGCCACAACTTTGTCATGAGTACAGAAAAGTAAAAGAAACAAAGGTTAAAAGATAAAAGCACAGAAAATCTGGATTACAGATAGAAGTGTTGCTGTCATCATCTGACTAGATGTGTATGTGCTCATGGTAGAATACATTTTACTCCCATTAGTTTGCACATTAGGTTGCTCTGGACACCAACTAACAACCATATCTCTCCATGAATAACTGAAATTAATTGCAATAATAAGACCTCTACTTAAAGGGAAAAAAAAAAAAGTAATGAATAGGCTGAAAATTCTCCCTGATGTTAATAAAAAGTGTGAAAATGTTACTTTTTAAGTATTTTGAAAACTGTGTCTTGCATTTTAAGTGATCGTTCCTGTAATACAGGTGCCAGGTTCTCTATCCTTACCAAATACCATATTCTATTGCTTTATGCAGTTCTACTGGAGAAAATAACACAACATGAAATAGTCCAAGGTTAGCCACCTACTGGGATTAAAATAGTTACCAGTAAACTAACAGCAGTGCATCTGTGAAGAAGGCAGTGAAAAAGCTATCCTGATTTAAAAATTGCATTCATGTTAGAAGGTTTGAAGCACAGGTACTCTGGAGAATAAATACTTTGGTTCCCTGTGATCCAAAATAGGTGTACTTGAATAACATAGTATTTGCTCTCTATGTTATCACATATTTGAAATTCTCAAATTCTGATGCTGCTGGTGTGAATCCCCCCATCAGATTTTGTAATCATCGGTTCTTTGGAGTCCTTAGGATGCTCTGAAAGCATACTCACTAGTGAGACCTCCATAAAAAGTCTTGGGATGAAACCAGATTTAGGAGAGGCTTTGCTTCTCTTTTTACACAAAAATTCAGGTATTTAGTGCTCACCTAACACTTTCTGTCACTCTTCTGCCCAAACTAAAATAGTCATTGAAGGGTGGCAGGAGACAGACATGTACAGATAGAAACACCCACACCACCAAATATGAGAAATAGATAAGCACACTTTAGTTTCATAACCACAACACTAAATCATGTCAAGGAAAAGAGAGGTTTAAGTGACACCTGAAATCAGCATTTACTTCTACAAAATCTAGCAATTCCAGTCTGAGAGACTGGGAAATAATGCTCCCAGACTGCCCACTTTACCTGACATTTCTTAAGACATGACTGAAATAACTTCAAGCCCTTCTAAGCCATTCTAAGTCAAACAGAGGGTAATTGAAACAACATCACTTTCAATCTAGTAAATATCTCCACTGCTGAACTTTTATAAAAAAAAATCTGTTCACCTAAGTGTATAGCTCCAAAGTGCTCTAATAGATTGGCATTTCCTTCAAAGTCAACAGCTGAATGCCAAGCAACCAGGGTGCAGAAATCTCTTCTTACTTCCAGTTTAGTTACTACACTACATCCATTCAACTTACTGGATGCTACAAATGCCATTCTGAGGCACTTTGCTTAATCTGGGATTCTGGATTTTTTTTGAAAATAACAAAGGAAATTTGTTGAAAATACAAAGGAATATTTTTATAAAAAATCTTGTACCCTAAGATTAATGCTACACACACGAGACCCGGGCAAGATTCTTAAGGAGATGATGTTCCATTCTGAAGTATTCTGCTTCACCCTTGAACAGTGATACACTCACTTTTTATCTTTGACATTCTGAACAGGGAATCTTTCCCC